ATCTATGTTATTTACTACCCCTTGTTGCGACAAAGAGAAACAAGGTTTTTTAAATCAAAATTTAGAATATTCTAAAAAGATGGAAAAATTTTTAAAAATAATAAAAAAAAAATTTAGTCTATCCTCTTCATAAAAAAATAAGCATTTTGACGATAAAATTTTGTTTTCATAAACTTTGGCGTCTTTTTTTCATCAGACTATGCTCTATGTTTTTAGCGATTCCGTGGAGTGACTTAGGTTAAAAACCCAGGTTGTTTGGTTGTGTGTTTGTTTGTGTGTGTGTGTGTGTGTGTGTGTGTGTGTGTGTGTGTGTGTGTGTGTGTGTTCCTTTATATATGGGATCGGATTTCTTACATTTTTCAGCCGATAAAACAAACATCCACTTTTTTTTTTTGGCAGGTAGTATTTCTTATTGTCTTGCACACTTTTTTCTTTATTTACATTCAGAATGCTTTAAAAATTCCATTTACAAGACAATTGTTTATAATAAAATTCTATTCACCAATCGATAGACTCATAACGATTGTAAACAATGTTTTTGTTTGAATTTGGGTTTGACCAATTCGTAAAAAAAAAAAAAAAAAAAAAACTAATTAAGACATGCGTGTCCGTCAACCTTAAACAATAATCTTTGTCAATTTTATTTTTCAGTCTTTATGATGGTCGATACTTGATCTATCTTTTACTGTTACATCCCCGGGCAACGCCGGGCTCTACTGCTAGTATATATATATATATATATATAAACTTTAAAATTAGCTATATTTGATATATATGTGTGTGTTTGTGTGAGTGTGTGCGTGAGAGTGTGTGTGTGTGAGTGAGAGAGAGAGAGAGAGGGGGAGGGAGAGAGAGAGCGTGTGTGTGTCCCCAAAGGTTTAGAAGATTTGGTTGTAAAAATTACCGTATTCTATAGTTTCCACTGTTTCTGTCGATATATTAGGCAAAGTAACGGCAATGTGTACTGCTTACAATTGGCAGCGACAAAAGTTCATATATATTCGGTTCGCGCCAACTGTTTAAATCCAACAAATCATATGACAGAACCTAATATGCCTGCCTAAGTCAATATGTCCGTAGCTTGGCATGTATTAATAGTGTAGTGTTCAATGAAGTGCATCAACAAAGAAAGAGATTATGTTGAAAAATACATCTTTGTTGTATAAAGTAATTGCTCTGTTCACGATTAGGCTACGGACTCATTGATGAGCAAAGTGTGTGTCTTTTTTTGTTTTTGTTTTATTTTTTGTTTTGTAAAGCATTTCCCCACAAGTAAGGCGGGAGTACCACTAGTACGCAAAGGGTTACAGAGAATGGGAGCAAGAGTAAAGAGGTGTGATAGAGGAAAGGAAGAAGAGAAGGACGGGGAATTAGATCAAGGCATCTGGAGATGTCGATTGACATTACATTTGAATATTTGAAGGCTATAACTGTCAGGGAAGCAAGTAAGAGGAAGGGAGTTCCACAGACGGGAAGTGCAAGAGATGAAGCTATTGGAGTAGAAGAGACGGCTACATTTAACTGTTTCCACAGGGAAAAGCTGGGACTGAGATGTCAACTAGTAACACGCTTAAGTTCATGCAGTTTAGGAACCACCGAAATTAGCTCGTCTGAGCAGTTTACCGTAAAAGTACTTGTAGAAAAGAGGGAGGGAATCCACAGCACGTCTGTGAGAAAGTGACTGTAGACGAGATGCCAGAACGGAACCAACCCCATTGCATATCCGTCTCTGGATTTTATGTGTTTGTGTGTATGTGCGTTTTGCAGAATGGATAACTCATGATGTATATATGTCTGAAATGCTGTTAAAGATTTAAGAAATAAATTCGTCAGTCTAAGATTGGTGCCAGGTTGCTATCCGAATTTTTTCTTGATGATTCAAAGAAAAATCTTGAATATATCGTTTGCATTTTGTAACGAAAGCAACTGATAAACCAGAAAAGATCGGAAGAAAATGGCGGACGGGGGGGGGTGGATTTCAATTCCAAACGTGTCGCTTTTCTCTTGTTTCTCACCTTTTTTTTTCTATTAAAATCTTTCCTCCCTTTCATTGTCTCCCCCTTTTCGAATCACCCTTCACGTCTGTAACAGAGAATGAAAGCATGAAAAAAGAAATAGATAAAGAAAATCTTTAAAGAAATATGAAGATGAAGAAGATGAGAAAAAAAAAAGAAAAAAAAAGAAGAAAAACGAAGAGCAAGGAATATATTTCTTAAAAAAAAGGAAGGAAAAAGAAAACAAAGGAGAGTAAGAAGATTTCAAAAGAAGGTGAGGAAGAAAACGGCTTCTGAAGAAGATTTTAAAGGAAAAATGAAGAACAAGAAAAAGAATAGAGGAGATGAAAAAGAAAGAAAAAAAAACAAAAGAGAAGAATTAAATGATTTCAAAGGAAAAATGAAGATGGAGAAGGAACAGAAACGAGAAATGAAAAAGAAGGAAAAGGGATCAAAACGAGAAATGAAAAGGAAAGAAAAGGCATCAAAACGAGAAATGAAAAGGAAGGAAAAGGCATCAAAAGGAAATCGAAGGAGAAGAAAGAAAAGATTTAAAAAGAAGAAATTTTCAAGCTTAAATTGAAGATTTTAAGAGAAATGAACAGGAAGGAAAAAGATTTTACAAAAACAATGAAGAACAAGATTATGAAGAAAAAATACGTCAACAGAAAAATAAACATAAAGATAAAAAGATGCTGAGAGGGAAGAAATAATTTCAAAGAAAAAATGGGAAAGAGTTCAAACAAAAAATGAAGTTGAGGTCAAAGTCATGAATAGGAACAATGCGAAAGAATGATAGTGAAGAAGATGAAAAAAAATGCTACTTGAAGAAGGAGAATCGTGTTAATGATGCTAGTTCTCGATAATGACAATTCAAATGATTGTTCTGCTATTGATGGTAAGAGTGGTGGTGATAGGGTTGTTCCTAGCTACTGAGATGATGGCAACCATCAAAAACAGAACAGAATAATTTCTCTGATTACATTGCTACTCATGGTTAATGATAATCCTTCTGTCGACGGAAATGTCGATAATGACATACATGTCGGTTCTATTAGGATTCTTATTTAGAAAAGGAAACCTGTTTTCTCTTTTTTTTTTTTTTTCTTTTCTTCCTCGTTTTTTTTTTTTGTTTTTTTTTTAAACTTCTCTTTCTTTACGTTTACGCTTTTGTTTCCCTTGGATCGTTCGTGTTTCGTTTTTCTTTTTACACTCATCTTTCATTCTTCTTGTCTTTCACGCTCTTCTCAGTCTTTCTTATTCATTCTCATTTTTAACAGCATTATTCTTTTTAGTGTTTTTTTTTTTATTAATGTGTCGTTTATAAAATATTCCTGTTTGATTTTTTTGCTTGAGATTTATTCGTTTTTATTCTGTAATTATTTCTTGAGCCATTTTTCGTCCTTGTGAATTAGTTTTCTCATTTTGTTTTACTGTTTGTTTTTCTTTCTTTCTTTCTTTCTTTCTTTCTTTCTTTCTTTCTTTCTTAATTAATTAATTATTTAATTATTTATCCCACTCTAGACTTTCTTTCTTTCGTGTTTTTTTTTTCATTCTTTCTTTCGGTCTTCCTTTCTTTTTACTATTGTTTTACCTTATGTCAATTGTTTTATTTGATTTTATGTTTCTCTGTTTCTTTCTCTGTTTCTTTATTTCTTTCTTTTTGTTCTTGTTTCTTTCTTTCTTTCTTTCTTTCTTTCTTTCTTTCTTTCTTTCTTTCTTAATTCATTCTCGTTCTATCTTTCTTTCTATCTTTCTTCCCTCTCATCCTTTCTTTATTTTCGTGTTTTTTTTCTTTCAATCTTCGTTCCTTTTTACCATTTTTTTTTACTATACTTTATGTCAATTCTTTTATTTGCTTTTATGTTTCTTTCTATCCGTTTTTCTTTCTTCCTTTCTTCAATTTCGTCCTTTCTTACTCCATTCTCGTTCTTTCTTTCTTCACTGTCATTCTTTCTTTCTTTCTTTCTTTCTTTCTTTCTTTCTTTCTTTCTTACGCGCATATTTGATTATGTCATTACATCCAATTATTTTTTATTCCTACAATTCTTCCATCTTATTTGCCCGCATTTTTATTCATTAAACAAATATCTTGAATCCTTTCCTTCTCTCTCTCTCTTTCTCTCTCTCTCTCTGGATTTAATAATTGCAATAAAATTTCAAATATTTACCCACACTAGTTTAGTTTTCAACACATAAGCAGTCATTTTATGCCGTTTTTACGCTTTTCCGGAAGTGCACACTTGTGTACGCTTGCATGGGCTTGCTGGAGCCTACAGACGCGTTGATGTGCGTGCACATAGATATATGCGTTCTAGTGTGCATCTTGGAAGACAGGTGCTTGGGTGGAGGGTTTCCAGTGGTAGACGCGGGTAGGTAAGGGCCCTATCATTTCCCGATTCATCATACGAATAGAGCGACGAACTAGGAACGGAAGCGTAGCAAATAAAATGGCGCTCGCCTTGTGTAGGAGGATCCCTAACCAACAAAGGCTTCCTATGGTATCACGTGATTACACACAAACGTAATCTCCAAAGTATGATATCACAGTCTGAACGCTTTGATGGGCCTCTTTTTAGAATGTTCTAGTTTCCAGTTTGTTTTTGTTTTGTTATTTAATTTTTCTAATTTTTTTATCATTTGAAAATCTGTTCTTGTGGGTTTGTGGGTGGATACAGTACTGCGCATGCGTCAGCAGCTTTAATTACAAGGAAGATTGCATGGGCATCTTATAAGAACATATCTACGCACCTGGGTTCTTATTTGTGTCTCCGTGTAAATATATATGTCTATCTGGGTATATTTTTGTGTATCTTTGAGCGCATCTATGTATGTGTGTCTTCGTTTGTGTGTATCTGTATACATGATTGTGTTTTTGTATAAATCCACGTAGGCCTGTCTACGTGTGTGTGGGTGTCTTGGTTTGTGTGCATGAGTGTATGTGTTTTATGTGTGTATATTTGTGCGCGCGTTTATGTGTTTATACCTATATATTTCTGTATTAAATTTCGTGTGCATCTGTCTGTATTTGTCTATAAGTATTTTTCTGTTTGCTTGTTATATATATTTGTGTGTGTATCTTTGTTTGTGTCTGTGTGAGAAATGAATCTGTGTGTGTGTGTGTGCGTGTTTGTGTGTGTGTGTGTGCATGCCTAGATACTGTTCACGAATGCATGAGTTTCTATGTGTGCATATGTATGTGCGTTCCTGTCATTAAGGCCTTGCAAAAATGTGTGTCTGGGTGATGTATGGCTGCCTTGTGTGTATGGTTGGGTCTTAATGTATGTAGATATTGATGTGTGCGTCTCTGTATGCGACATATATGTCTATATAAATATATATATAAATATATATATATGTGTGTGTGTGTTTTTGCAAATTGCGAAAAACACACTTCGGAAGACTTCGTATAAACGTCTACTCGATTTGACGGATATTTCTATGGATGCACTCGTGTGCATGCGGGTGCCTGATCAAATATGTGGGTTTGTCTAACTTGACACCGTTAATGCATGCGCATTTAGATGCATTTATATGTACATCATGTGTTGTATCAAACGTAAATAATATTGCTTTCTTTGCATCGCTAAAAGAAATGATAAATAGTCAGGAAACAGAAAAGATGCCCAGAGGAAAATCCATAAAAAATTCATGTGTTTACAATAAAAAAAAATTTTTCCAGATTATAAATACAAAATTTTCTAAATTGTAAAGAAGAGTTCTGTTTGCTTTGTAAATTCAATGTAAATTGATACCCCTATGCAAACTATATATATATATATATATATATATATATATATATATATATATACAACTTTTCCTAAATCGAGAAAACACGAGAACGCTCAAGAATTAACAACGATAGCATATGTCTAGAAAATCGGAAGTCAAAATGGCTACATTTGAAAGAAAAGAGGAAAAAAGGAAAAAGAAGAAAGAGTGAGAAATAAAAAGAAAAGATGGAAAGGACAAATAACCAAGACATTTTATACGTACGCACATACGCGAATACGGGCGCATGGGCGCACGCGCGCGAACGCATACATGTACATAGGTGCGTACGCACACATGCACTATGAAGACAAAAACCTTCCACGAATGAAAAGTACATATAAGTATAGGCAGCCCATTGCTGATAGCCCCTGACGAGTGAACGGAGTGATTCCCGGAGGGTCTGTTTACGAAACTTTAGAGAGTCGGGATGCTGAAGCTAACATCAAACAGCTAAGTGACAAAACTTTTACTTGTATTAATTGTATATATATATGTGTGTGTGTGTGTGCGCGCGCGCGTGTAGGTGTATGTGTTATATTCTGTGCTAACAGGAATATATACTTGGAAAACACGGTGGATAAAATAAGTAAAGTTTTATTGTAAAAACCAGTACAATAAGAATAAAGGTAACAGGCACAAAGTTATCACAAGTCAATCCAGTAGTGAGTCCTACTATTGGAAGGTTGGTAGTTCTCACATAAGTCTGAGTTCTACTCCACAGATCCCAGCTAGAGTATCTAGCAACTGCCCCACGCAGTCACATGTAGCACAAGGACGAAATTAATGTGGGGTTCCCGAGTCCGTAGATCCCGCATAAATGGGACCTCGCATAAACGGGATCGGGTCTGTCTACCTCCCCGAACGAGACTCTATTTTTCGGCATAGCCTCGTCCGTATTCCTCTCTGTCCGAAAGGGGAGAGTTCGACCGACATAGATAGATTTCAGCTAGTGTATTTAGCAACTGCCCAACGGAGTCACATGTGGCACAAGGCCGAATTTAACGTGGGGTATCCGAACCCGTAGGTTCGGGCAAAAATTCCTCGTAGACCTCGTAAAAACGGGGTCGGGTAGCTGTCTACCACCCCAGACGAGACATTGCCCTTCGGCATAGCCTCGTCTGGGTTCCTTTCTGCTCAGAGGCAGAGTTCGATCAGCCAGCTGAAAAGATTTCAGCTAGATGGTATTTACTAGCAAATTTACTTATCACACACACACACAAACATATATATATATATATATATATATATATATATATATATATATATATATATATATGACAGCCTGAGCCATTATCCAATTTTCACACGATCTTCAGGCGATTTGAGTCACGTGAAACTCGGGTAACGATTCGATCTGTCTTATATATTTTACTGGATACCCATATTTGTGTAGATTCTCCGTTTATTTTAAACAGTATTTAATTCGTTTAATTTGTGTTCACGAGAAAACTTAATAAAGAAAACGTGCCCTTCGCTAGGATTTGGACTTACGTTACTCTTTCCAGGAGGGACCTCTCTCTGATCCGACGTGTATTAACCGCTTGGCTACGAAGAGCTTCATCAGCAAGCAATGTTTTATTTCGCCCTTAAATCACACTCACTCGATCAGATTTCTCCGAAACACTTATGTGCTTAGTTTGGTATCCGAAACGTAAACAAACCAATTCCTAAAGAATTATTCGATTTTATTTTTTAATGCGACATCTTTTTATTGCTTCAAACGTTTTTTTCTCTATTATGAGCTCTCGACTGTGCAAGCTGGTAGACGAAAAATAAAATAAACGAAGCGTCTACTGAAATATGGGTATCCACTAAAAATAAGTAATAAAAATACATCGGATTAAACTGCCCTCGAACAACTGCTCTGTGAAACCAACTCCCAAGAGGATGTTTCCCCAATCACTACAATCTTAAACTGTTTAGGGTTAACTGTTATTTTCCCCTCCTATCCGTACAAATTGCCTCTTAACGTAACATTCTACCTTGAGTCGCCCCCGGGTCTTGTACAGAATGGACCTTAGTGTAAAAAAAACTAAATAAATAAATAAAAAATTGAGGGAGAGAGAGAGAGAGAGAGAGAGAGAGAGAGAGAGAGAGAGAGAGAGAGAGAGTGAGAGAAAGAGAGAGAGAGAGAAACATGCAGAGAATAAAAAGTGATAGAGAATTGGTAGAAAATAAGAGTACAAGATATGGTTTTGTTTTCCCGGTTCGTTCGTTTTTCGGATTCTTGTTCGTTGTATTGTATCTTCTTTTCTTTTCTTTTCTTTCTTTTCTTTTCTGTCTTTGAAAATACCAAGATCTGGCTAAGGAGAAACTATGGAATATGATTCTTGAAGTAATTCCAGTAGTAATAGTAGTAATAGGTGCACTTGTAGCACCGCTGAGAAAACTGAAAAAGCGCTTAATGAGATTTCGAATTGAAAGCAAGATTGTACACCTCCAGAAAACTCACTGGAATTAATCTTCGAGGATTCTCTGAAAACTTCCTCCATCCAATTGTCATGCTTTTCGCTGAATGCAAAGTAATTCTTTTTCATTTTTACAGTTTTGGTTTTCGGTCAGATTTTCAGGAACATCAGTTGAAATTAATTGACCAATTTACGAGAAAGAATCCTGTGACTAACATTTGTACCCTTAATGAGCTATAATTTTTTTGTTTGAACCTGTCGTAGATCGAGAAATAATGGATATGATGATACAATCATATCTAAGGGTTCTTTTTCTACGATATCCTCTTTTCTTTCAGTCAGAGTAAGAGCTATCAATTTGGTACTTGGCAATAGCATTTGGAACTGCTATTTGCTATGACCCATTTGGTCTGAGATATCACACTCTTAGTAGCCCTTTTTAGATTACTATTTTGGTTCTTTCAATGTCAAAAAGCGACGATTTATACAATTTTTAAGGTCTAAATACTTACTGAAAACTATTCTTTAGAACACAGCTTTCAATTAAGCCAAAACTGTGTTACAGTGTTTCAAATTTGTGGACGATGTAAAACTGCAGTTCGTTTAAGTAGATAATGCAATTTGCTATTATAATAGGGATTTATTTGCCAAGGTGTATTAAACTATTGGTCAAAACCGTATAAGTGGAGAAGTTTCTAATGAACTCTTATCAGCATGAATTGAACACCGCCTCTTACTCCTGGAATATATTTTTTATCTGATTGATTTTATTTCGACACTCAATCTCGGTTTTCGAGGAGGTTTCTAGGATCTTAGTTGGAATTCATTGACCATTAAACAAAAGACAGTTCCCTGACATACATATGTACCCTTGAGAATTAGAGCAACTTGTATTTATTTAATTTTTTATGTATGAAGTTGACGGAGATCATGAAACGATGGGTTTAATGATACGATAATATTTTTTTTTCTGGACCGAACATTTTCAGTCAGAATAACGGCCATCATCTTGGAAGCTAGCAATAGCATTGAGAACTGACATATTTGTATATTTATTGTATAAAAATACAATTTTGGCACATGGCCTAAAAAGGGGAGGGGTTTAGGCTGGTCGACACTAACTATCCTATACCTAGCTAATCCGATTCACAACCCATTCACTCATTACAATTTCCACATTCACCATAAAAACTCGCCCGTCACCACTCAGTCCTCCATACATCTTGGTACAGCCCATTCCGTCTGAGATTTTACCGCTCTCTGTGTAATATTACTTGAATCTTTGAATGTCAGAAAGTGAAGATTCTTTGCTCATTTTTAACGTATACAAATTTATTGGAAACTATTCTTTAAAGCAACTTCATAGAGTTGAAACTGCCCCAAAACCTGTGCTATCGTAATTCAAATTTGAGGATGGTGTAATATTGCTTATAATTGAAGTTTATTTACATTAACTAAAAATGGATGATACAATATCCTGCAACCAGAGAAAAAGATTAATTTTTTTGCTATGTACTCAGCAAGTTCAACAAAATTTTGCCATAAGGTAGGTGTTCTGTATCTACAAAACTTTCCTTAATCAACCACAATTCCATAATTTTAGTGTACCTGATAAGTAATTAATTTGTACGCCGATAATAAATCCTGCTATTTTTTTCTTGTGATCGTTTTGCTATATAGTTTAAATTAATCTAATGAAAATAAACATCTTTGTTTTCCTTTTTCAACTTTTGTATATTCAGTGACTGCATTCTTTACCCGGATGCAGGTTGTTTGTTCCGACTATAGTTACGATTTACTCGAACATCTTTCTCAAATGATCTACCAGTGTTACTTGTCACAATTTTAACAACATACACGAATGAAATCATATTGGCAGTAAACTCAGAAAGGAAAAGGAAAATATTCTAATGGAAAGCAAGAAGAAAGGAAAAACTGTAAAAACACAGAATGCATAGTTGTCAGGAAAAGAGACAACCTAATGTGTGAGCTACATATTGGGTATGTCAAAATCAAGTAGGCACGATATTGAACTATCTGGGTAGTGTAGTAATAAAGGATGGAAAGAGTAACACAGAAAACTGAAGCTGTAGGGGAATAGCGAAAGGTGCCTTCCAAAAACTAAGCAAATGTCCTTAGAAAAACGTTGTTAAAAATAAAGAAAAGAGTACTAAACTGCTATGTAATATGTAATTCCTTGTAGATTAATTAATACTGGACAATCTTCTCCCAGGAGAACTGACTTAAAATGAGGAATACATGGTACTACTATTGAATATTTAAGAATACCATGAGCAGGATATATGAAGAATGAGCAAATCTTAAGACAAATAGGAAGAACAAGGAAACTTACTTTTACAAACAGAAACAGATTTAAAATTTTGGGACACAAGCGGGGGGGGGATGTTTGTAGAATTTAATACTTCCAGGATATAATGACAGCAAGATTGATTGACTACGTTTTCTACGTGTTACCAAGCTTTTGCAGGTTATTTAAAGCCAGAGATTATTTTTAGACTGTTAGAATTATTTAAGATAGTAATAGTTGAGTGATGCTAGTCTTACTAATTAATCCATAGCTAGGAAGGAGAAGAGGTGGAGTTATTCCTTTCTAAAGGGTATTTGCACGTAAGTGAACATAACGAACCCAACGGGAACTGGAACTCGGCTATCCGATTATCAATTCCGAGCTATTATCAATTACACCACCCGCACATCCATTCTTACCTGGTATTCCGAAGCGGTCAGCTATCTTAAGTATTGACGTTGTTCAACTTCGGTAATTGTATGGTGTTTCAACATGATATGACTGTAAACCTGAAAGTAAGAGATGCAAAAAATAGTAAGTAATTTACCTGATGTGTTTTAGTGAATCGTTGGCAAGACAATGACAAAAATGACGAGCAAAGGATCAAAAGATAATGAAGAGACTTGAAACGACAGAAATGTGGTTCTATTGACAAATGCTAAGAATACCATGGATAGTACATGTGAGTAACAAGGAAGTGTTAAGAAGAATAGTAACTACGAGGAAACTCATATTTACAACAAGGAAGGGAAAGTTTCTGAAACGTATAATGGGGAAAGATGGACTTGAGATTTTAACACTCACAGGACATGGACAGTAAAAGAAACAAGAGTAAACAGTAAGTAACCTAATTGATAAGTGAATAAGTTAATATTGTGAATGGATGACAAAGCAGAAATAAAAAAGCATAGAAAAATCTACAGCCACGAATGGCTAGAAATTATGGACAGCAATAAGCACCCATGTTTTGAAGAGTCATCGTACATAAAAGCAAAAAGATACTAAGAAGTGTCCGGTGCCGGGGAACACGGCTGAACCGTCCTCATTGGTCTAAATAGTGGGATCGGTAAGCATAACCATGCCAACGGCTACGGGTAACTGGGCAATTTGGGGCACAGTCTGTACTCCCTCATTGCTATAGAGACGGGGATCGGTAGTCATATCGATGACGATTATTGCGGGCGGCTAGGCAATTTGGCGCCTTGGCTTTACCCCCTCATTTCTCGAGTGACGAGGATCGGTAGTCATATCGATGCCGACGGTTGTGGGTGGCTGGGTAATTTTGAGCCCTGGCCCGAGTGTACGCGCTCGGGTGCCCCACGTTAAACCCGACCTTGTGCTACATCACTTCTCAGTGGAGAGTAGAGTAAATACCTACATAAAAGTTAGAATCGAATGCACTCCTAATAATCTACCAGACCAGCTTACTAACAATCGCTTTACGACAGGCACCTGTTGCGTTCCGTGCGTATATATGCTGAGTATAATGATACAAAAAAAAAATACGCATTAAGGCATGACATTATTCAAATATAATGGTTTGTTGTGTAAAATTTAATTATGTATTGCCCACCATCTTTTTTTTTTAATTGATTCATTTTTTACGACGTATCAACCCATTGCAGGAACATATTTTTAAACTAGCAGCATGGCCCGGCGTTGCCCGTCCTTGTTTCAAAAATCGTACGACTCATACAGCAATCGCTATCACTTGACTCAAGATATTTTTGCCCTTCATTGCCTTTAATGGAGTGCCCTTTGCCGTGCTTATGTTGCTACAAGCCTTACTTCTTGCCTATCTCACACTGCGAATTTTTTCTAAGCTCTATACTAAACATTAAATCTGTTACGAAAAAAAGAACTAAACAAAATGAACACAAAACGATCAGCTTTAAAAAAAGACTCGTAACTGGAAAAACCGAATGAAAGAAGAATGTTAACAACAAATACTTTTTCACACCCAACCCAGTTCTGCAGAATCAGAATCAACGTTGAGTTTAAGGAAGCGAATGAGCCAATTGAAGTAAAGTTCCATGCAGATTTAAATTTTTCCCACTTGTGACGAATGCAGCTATCGATTTTTTTTGCATGCTAGCATGCTAGTTAACATTCGTGTCAGTCTGCTGTTGGCTCTCACGCTGGCCAATAGAATCTTCCTGCCTATTCGTGGCAGCCAGCTATAGGCTCTCCCTCTGGTCAGTAGAAAATGGCCGCAAACTACATGAAAACTGCCGTAGAAGCATGAAAATATTGATTATTTCTATTATCGAAGGGAGTTGGAAAATGCAATGTCGGTCTTGGCCTTGCCACTAACTTGGAGCATGTGCATGTAAATTTTGGTGCAAATCCGTCGAAAATTGCGGCCGTGCATTCGTTACGCACACACACACACACACACACACACACACACATCCTGCCTTTTATAGATAGAGATTGTAAGATTTCGGGAGCGAATAATAATGATTTACGGATACAAATCCTACAAATTTACCCTTACTTGGGGGTAGAAGTGGATAAGTTCGTAACTTTCTCAAGGGTTTTTGCGTTTAATTCAATATAATGTACCTGACAGGAATTGGAACTCAACTATCTGATTTCCAATTCCGAGCTGTTAGCCATTACACAACCCGAGCATACGAGCTTACAGCTACAGCACGTGGAAATTCCAAAAGCGGTCACCCATCTAGCTACTGACCAGGCCGGACATTGCTTAGCATCGATGGTCGTACGAGAACCGGTCTTTCAATGGACATACTAAAAAATGTGGGAACACGGGCAAAACTGACGAAACACTTTCTATCGTCTGTTTCTATTCATTCTCATTTAACCAAATGTTGTACCTTTGTGGTGAATATTCGTACAGCTTTCTCAGGATGCGTTTTTGTAGGTTTATTTTTGTTTGTATTTCGTAACAGGGAGCCTGCTTTTCCGTGTGCAGGCAAATTCACATAAATTTGTGTCCATGTGTGCGTTCTTTTCATTTCCGAGAGAACATCTTGAACATCTGTACTATGTTTAAAAGATCATTCACCTGTCTGTCGGCGCTTGTTCTTGACTGTGCTTATGCGCATGCGTATATTGGAGTACAGAGCATAGTACGGCACGCCTGTGCGTTCATGCACAAGAAGAACCGGAACCGGATCCAGGTGATTACGTAATACGAGGATAAAAGTGTAAGATTACGAATATGTCTAAGAGAGAAGGAATGGTTGTCTTAAAAGAGGAAAGCGAGTGAAGACGCAAAAAAAATAAAAATAAAAAAAGAGATTAGGAAAATGAATCTTGTTAGTGGCTGAAGTGGGTGAGGAGAAGATTGAAGAGATGAAATTAATCCAGAGATAAAGAGCTGAGTAATAAATAAAATCAATTGCATTGGTATTTATATGAAAACGTCAAGATGCGAAAAAAAATTAGGTTAGTTTTGGGAAAGGTGAGGAGGAAGAAAACTTGAAAATTAATGAGGTGAATGAAATTGTGAAATAAGAAGGAAAGAAAGAAATTTGGAATAATTTTAAACCCGGAATAGATGAAAGAAAGCATAATATAAAATGTGCAGTTGAACGATGAAATGAATGAAGAAGAATGAAGGAAATAAACGAAGAATAAAGGAAGGAGGAATGTCAAATGAAGGAATGAATGAATTAGCGATGAAAGAATTATGAGAAAAATTAACAAATTTAATGAGTAGTTATTTTTTCTGATAAAAATGGCAAAGAAAATACAAGAAAAGGATTTAAGAAAGGAAGAATGAATGAAAGAAAATGAAACAATTAGAATAAGAAAGAAAGAAAGAAAGAGAAAGAACGAAAGAAAGAAAGAAGCAATGAAGGAATGAAAGAAAATGAAACAATTAGAATAAGAAAGAAAGAACGAAAGAAAGAAAGAAGCAATGAAGGAATGAAAGAAAATGAACCGATTAGAATAAGAAAGTAAGAACGAAAGAAAGAAAGAAGCAATGAAGGAATGAATGAAAGAAAAACAGATTGGAATAAGAAAGAAACAAAAAAAGAAAGGAACAAAGAAAGAAAGAAGAGTGAAATAAATAATACAAATAAATGCAGAAGATGTAAAAACTGAATCGAAAGAAAATTAAATCGAAAAAGAAAGAAGAAGAACAAAAGAAACCCACGCAAAAGTGAAAAGAAATCAGAGAAAAAGAAAAGAACAAAGAAAAGGAGGAAAGCAAAAATAAAAGTAAAAATGAAGCTAACAAACGAAGCAGAAATCGAAAACTCTAAATAATCAATGAATAAACGAAGTTCTTGAAAGAATAAATGAATAATAAAAGAGCAGAAGTCAATGAAGAAATATGTAAAAAAAACAAAACAATGGAAGAATGAAAGAGTGAAAATGATTGCATTACGGAGGAATAGTCGAATAACCTCTAAGAAAGGAACTCGTGGGAAAGAAATGGTTCAACGCGAAGAATTTAATCTTGAATGATGGAAAGGCGGAAGCAAAGAATAAAAGCGAAAATTGGGGAAATCGAATGAACGCTTAGCAAAAATAAATAAATCAATAATTACATAAGAAAAAAATCAGAAGGAAGAAAAACTAAACATAAAAAAAATAAAACAAAACGAAACAGAAGTTTTCTCAGAACGAAAAAATAAATATAGAAAAATAAAAAAAAATGTTCATAGAATAAATAAATCCGTAGCCTGACATAACATCTAGCTGTATTTTGATCTAAAATTTTCATTGTATAATGGTCGGTGTATTTGATTATTATTCATTAAGGAATTACATGCTTTGAAAAGAAAGTAAATTGTATTGGAAAATAAATATTTGCGTAAAGTGCTATTTTTATTGGACTACAGATTTAAAGGAAGGAAGGAAAGAAGGAAGGAAACGAAAGACAGAAAAAATATACCAAGAAATATATGGAAGAAAAAAGAAAAGAAAAATAATAAGAAAGAGCAATATTAAAGAAAGAAAAAAAAAGAAAGAAAGTGAAAATAAGTGAGATAAGTTAATGAATTAAAGAAAGAGAGAAACAATTATAATAAGAAAGAAAGAAAGAAAGAAAAATGTAAAATAGAAATGAAGGAAAATGAAATAAAATGAGATAAAAGAGACAATGAAATTAAAAATAGAAAGAAAGAAAGAATGAAAGAGAAAATAAGGGAGAGAAAGTAATGAATCAAGGAAAGAAACGATTAGAATAAGAAAGAAAGAAAGAAAGAAAGAAGTAAATTGCAAAAAAGAAATTGAAGAAATGAAAGTAAATGGGATAAAATAAAGAAGGATATTTTTTAAAAAATTAAAAGGAACGAAAGAAAGAAAGAAAAATTCAAGAAGAAAATGAAAGAAAATGAAATAAAGAAATAAAAAATTAAAGAAAAATTAAAAGAAAGAACGAAAATAAAGAAATGAATGAAAAAAGAAACTGAAAGAAAGAAAAAAAGAAAGAAAAATTATCTGAATCTAGAAATAAACAAAAACTAAAAAAAACTAATGAATAAAATGAGACAAGTTATAAAAAAAAAAGAAAAGAAGATCGTAGATAAGAAGGAAGATGCAGGGGCGCGAAATGTTCTTTAAATAGTAGAGCGGCGAAAGAATGGGTCATGTACTGCTGGCGAGAAGCAATGGCGACCATGACAGAAATGGCGGCGGCTCACTCCAGTGACACGAAAGTATTATCTGATATTCTCAAATTCTGCTCCCTTTACTCACTCGAGAGTTCATCGTGATCACATGGCGAATATGCTTCTTTCTTTAAAACCCCGTCGCCATTCTCACTCAATATTCACTTTCTCTTTTTAACTATCTTTTTTTTTTACTTCAGACCTCCCACCCCTACCCCCATCGCACCCTTTTTTTTTTATCTCATCACGACAATTGAGAAGGTAGAGAAGAGGTTGCTGGGTTGGGAAACCTGGAAAAAATTCTTTCCCTTCCTTTTGTCTTCAATGTCAGCCTGTCTGTCTGTCTGTCTGTCTATCTGTCGGGCTTGCTGTTTGTCTGACGTCACTGATGAACAAGCGTCAGGGTAATAGCGTACAACAGAGCTAATATCGGCTTTTTTTGTCTCAAATCGGCAGCCGTTATCTGTTTTAAACGACTTTTATCTTTTATCCGACCTCTTGTTTTTTTTTTGTTTTTGTTTTTGTTTTTTGTTTTTTTTTTCATCTATTATTGGACGATTTATCTTTCTTGTATTTTCTTTGATACATCAATGTCGGCCTAGTTTTATTTTCATCTTCATCTTTTTTTTTTTTTTTACTTTTTTATATTTTTAACTGCTTTTGTTTTAGTTTTATCCCCTCTAGATTTCTTCCGTCTCTCTTCGATTTTGCAACCGTCTTTTCTTCTTTGTCTTCTTTTCTCAGTCTCACTTCATTTCTTCTTGACTTTCACCTTTTCTTCTCCTTCCTTTTACTCTTCTTTCTTTTTCTTTTCCTTCATACTTATTGCTATTGATTGTCTCTCCTTTTTCTCTTTCACCTTCTTTTTCTTCATTCTTCTCTTTTGCTTCTTATTTTCTTACATACTTCTCCTTCTGCGACGCCATTTCTCGTCCTTTCGTCTTCTTCTTCTTCTTCTTCTTATTATTATTATTATTATTGCGTGCCACAGCATCACGCCAAAAATTGTCGCTCGGGTAAAAAGCACAGAGCTTAATATATCCATCATGATACCCAGGTACATGCGCGCACACACATAGATTCTTATTTTCCTTGACTTCTCCTTTTTCCTCCTCTTCTTCTTCTTCTTCTTCTTCTTCTTCTTATTATTATTATTATTATTATTATTATTATTATTATTATTGCTGTTGTTGTGTGTTTGTGTGTTTGTCATGTCTTTGTTGCCATCTTCAAGGTTAGCATTGTCTTTCTGTTGTGCTTTTTTTTTCTCTTTCAGATCTTACTATTTCTGCATCTTGTCTTTCCACACTATTGAAATTCGGGGTATATGGCATATATGGGGTACATGTAGGGGTGGACGTGTGCATGCTAACAGCGTTCAGTTTTCATAACATCAAAAAGAGAAAATATAATATTATATCTGTTTTTTTTTTACAATTTATATCTGTTCATTATATATTTTGTATTTATTTTTCTGACAATATGTTCCGTGTTCCATCTACGCTACGTACCTGCACGCACAGACTTAACAGATACACACACATGCACATACACGCACAAACACAATATATATATATATATTGATTCATTGCTAACTTGACAGAAATATGTTTGCGAGTTCATTGTTTTATTTTCACCTCTTCCTTTTTTCTTTGTCTTTTCTTTCCATATAACACCCCCCACCCCAAACTATTCTTCCTTCTTCACGATTTTTCTTGTAATTATTGATTATCTTACTTTTCTATTTTTTTTCTTCATTTGCTACTTTTTTCCATGTACTATTTTCTAGTCGTAATCTTTTTCTTTCTTTCTTTCTTTCTTTCTAGTCGTAATCTCTCTTTATGTTTTCCCCTTTTCTTTCTTTCGTTTACTTTTATTTCTTTCTCTATCTTTTTCTATCTTTCTAGCTGTAATCATACGTTTGCTTTTCTTTCTTTCTAGACGTAATCTTTTTTTTTTTTTTCTTTCTTTCTTTCTTTCTTTCTTTCTTTCTTTCTTTCTAGCCGTAATCTCTATGTTTTCTCCTTTTCTTTCTTTCTTTTACTTTTCTTTCTTTCTCTGTTTTTTTATCTTTCTAGCTGTAATCTTACATTTGATTTTCTTTCTTTCTTTCTAGCTGTAATCTTTTTTGTTTTCATTCTTTCTTTCTTTCTTTCTCTCTTTCTTTCTTTTTTCTTTCTTTCTTTCTAGCCGTAATCTCTCTCTATGTTTTCTCCTTTTCTTTCTTTCTTTTACATTTCTTTCTTTCTCTGTGTTTTTTTTATCTTTCTAGCTGTAATCTTACATTTGCTTTTCTTTCTTTCTTTCTTTCTTTCTTTCTTTCTTTCTTTCTTTTCTTTCTTTCTTTCTTTCTTTCTTTCTTTCTAGCCGTAATCTTTTTTGCTTTCTTTCTTTCTTTCTTTCTTTCTTTCTTTTTTTTCTTTCTTTCTTAAACTTTTCTTTCAATCTGTAACCTTTCTTTCTTTCTTTCTTTCTTCTAAATACCATCTATATATTTTCTTTTCTTTTTCCGTTATTTCGGATCGGCTGCAAATCAAAAAACAAAAAAACAAAGCCTTGTAAAATTTCTGATTAAGCTAAACAACAAAAAAAAAAATGTCGCCAAAAAACAAATAAATAAATTAGTAGTTGATTAAATATTTAATAATGCCCACAAAAAGTTTCCAATATTTGTCCTTCATAAATTCGGCAATTAGTTACAAAAGAAGGCAGGAACGAAAAACTGAATAGAAAAATTTATTTTATTTATTTTCGTTTTTCCAAAATTTATTTGTACCGAGAGCACAAGTTGAAGGTCAGACGTTGGTCGTCCAGCAAAGACATTGGTTCTTTCTTAGATAATGTTACTATTTAATGTCCTTGAAAAGGGGTCTGGATTTCTGAACAAGCGCGCCAGATATCTTCACCCCCAAGCAAATGGCACCGATATTCACTTCTTTTGTTTTTCCAGAATATGCAGAGGTCATCAAATTGGTTTTCTACGTCTATGTGCTGTGTTCCTTCAGTTCGTGGATGATAATGGCTCTCCACAGCCTCCTATCTCTTGAAGCTCTTAGCAACATTTGTCCCTTTGCTAAGCCCCTCAACCGATGATCCATCATCTATTCACATGAGCTTAGGTAGGTATTCCACTACCTTGCCGTGTCTTTTTTTCCTTCGATACACCCTGTGAGTATCAAAGTCTCCAATTAACCTTTCCTCATTACGTGTCTAAGTAATTTGAGCTGTCTCTTTCTGATTTTGAGTATGAGTGTCTTTTTTGTTTCCATTTTCCATGAGACATCTTGGTTGTTAACCCACTCCATCCTTGGTATTCTCAACATCCTCCTGTAGTAACACATTGTCAACGACACATTCCAAAAGCTGAACAGAGTACTTCGAGACAGGCGGATATCTTTGGTAACAAAGAAAAGAATACAGAGCTGTTACGTGGCATCTGTCCTTCCTTACGGCAGCGAATGTTGGACGATTTCCTCAAAGATGAAGAAGAGACTCGAGGCGACGGAGATGTGGTTCTACAGAAGGATGCTAAGGATATCATGGACCGAGCGTGTGAGCAACGATGAGATCTTACAGAGGTTGCAGACAAGGAGTAGGCTTATACTTAATATCAGGAAGAGGCAGCTGAAATTTCTGGGACACATAATGAGGAAGGAGGGCCTAGAGAATCTGGTACTCACGGGTCGAATAGAGGGAAAGAGAGTCAAAGAAAAGCAACGCGTGATATACCTGGTGGATGACAGAACATGGTCTGGGGAAGGAAACAGAGGAAAGGAACTTGTTAAGAGCTGCAAGGGTTAGAAAGAGGTGGAGAGCCATGATCGCCTACGTCCTGAAAGGAAAGACTTGTTTGATGTTGATATCTCCAATTTGTAGTTTGCACCTTCTATTTTTTTCTCTTGCTCACAACCGTACATTTTATCTTCTTAGAAATGATAGTTAGTCCTTTCTTCTTGCTTTCCTTGGGGAGGTTCCGCATGTTTCCTTCTGTAGCTGTCATCAACAGTGTCATCTGCGTATCTTATGTTGTTAAAGCTACGCCAACTGATGGTAGGGTCTCCAGCTCTCTTATGAGAATCACGCCGGAGAGACAGAAAAAAATGTGCTGAGAAGACATATCCTTGTCTTACGCACCTTTCTATTGTATTTGTGCGTACGTAATCAATTTTACTTAAGCCTCTTTATTCATGCTTGGCGAAAATTTCACTTGAATGACTCGTTAATATTCGTCATAGAAATCTGATTGGTTGAAGAAATGTATCTGTCAATGAGGCCAGCGCAATCTGTTTTAATCCCCTACTCTACTGACAATGAATTCTATTCTTACTACATTATCCACAAATCTTTGCCTAACTGAATCCCAAAAAATTAAAGAATGGCTAACCGCATGAAGAATTAAGGCCTCCAAGCATCGATTTATATAACTACCTCCAAACTTGTAGAAGGTTACGGACAAACCACGCTGTAAAAACCAGTTCTAGTTTGATTACCAAAGTTAAGGATTGGCGAACTTGGTCAGTACTTAGATGGGAGATCGCTTGGGAACAGCAGGTGTACTGTAAATAACCTCCTACAATCTGACATATTTTTCGGCTTTAAATAACCCGCAAAGTGTTGTTAAGCCGTAAAAATGTAAATAAAACAACCAGTCAACCAACCATCTTGAATGTAAGTTCTCGTGAGCTATAGAATCAGGGAAAAGAATCAGGGAATCACGTTGCCTTCATATACACTTTACTTCCACCTTTTGGTGGGAGTGATGTCATTTGTGGCGTGCCTCTTCTCTTGTCACTTGATCAAATCCGAGTCACAATTTTGTTTATATCTTCACGTATGAAGCTTCATCGCTTGCTGTTTAATGTATCCATTAGATGCCAGTTTATCATTGGGATATATGTTCATCTGTGGTGTGTGGTTAGTGCCAGGAAATACCGAACGGCCTGAATCGAATTCAGTGTCAATAAGGAACTTTTGTTCTAAGGGAAATTGATCTCTGATGACCCCCCCCCCCAATATGTAATGGTCTTCTCGCCTTTTTGATCAGTGCCACTCCAGAGCTTCGGATAAACCAAATACATTAGCTGGTTGACCTGGAAGGTAGCCTTATAGCCAACAAATACAGATTTTCGCCTCGTAGGGTGTAAGTGGCCTGTCCCCGACATGTAAACAGGTTGCCGATCTAACTGTGCTTAGGATATTCACACGAGAGCCAACCGGATGATAGGAAGATCTAGAAGCGCCTTACCAGAGAGAGAAAAGAGAGATAATCTCTCATATCCTCCCGAGAAGGAAATCTACATGTGGAGAAAAATCCCTGATCCACACACCCGGACGCGAATAAACAATTTTTTTTACGTATGAGATATATTATTTTTTCGGTCTTTTTAAAGTTTACAGTAATAAGGTTCAATATCATCTGAAATACGTTTCATCATCTGGTATAACTTTATCAACTGGTAACGACATTATCATCTGGAAAAATGTTCGTTATCTGGACATGGTTTTATCGTATGGCGGCTAGGTACGAATTAGGGTCATTTATCATTTATATGCTTTATATATAGGCTCATCTACGACTTCGAACAATTTTCAAAGGCCTGCAAGAATATCGACCCGACAGCAATGACATATCAGGAAGCGGCTTCAAGAATGAAAACATGTTCGAATCAAACCTTTCTAATACTTATAACGACATTGATAAATTTGGATAAAAATACACAGGCTTTGGATAAAAATAGATCTATTTTGAATAAATGTTAGAGCGTTTTGTATAGATTCACTTACTTTTTGGATAATCCAGTGTATTTAAAGCTCTTTAAATGTTATTTTTTATGAACAGAAAATAGATTCAAAATGTTTGTGGCGTTTCAAAATTATTTGAAGTAAATACATTTTAAAATATTAAACGTATGTAAAAAAAATAAGCTACAGGTAACTACTGGAATAAGAAGAACACTGCTCCACATAAAAGAAAACTTAAAATCTGGCGTATTTCCCAATATTTAAAGGAGAGGTTAGGCAATCAGATAGTTTGAATGAAAGAAAGAAAGAAAAAAGAAAGAAAGAAAGAAAGAAAGAAGAATAAGAAAAAATGAAAAAAGAAAGAAACGAGTGGACGAATTACAAAATAATGAAAGAAAGAAAGTTTAAGAAAGAAAGAAATTAAATTAAAATCCCTAATACTGTTTCATTTTCAATCGGAGATTCCAAAAGTCGCTTGAAAATGAAACAATACTATGGATTATAATTTAATTCTATAATTAAATTTGAATTTTTTAGTTTCTTATTTTGAAACATGGTCATTCCTGTGTAGCGATGGAACCATATTTTTAAATTAGTAAATTTATAATATTTATGCTCTGTAGAATTATATTGAGCACGGTTTTATAAAAATAAAAATAATTAATAAGAACACCGGACTATAAATCTTACTGTTCTTTCTCTTTATCACCGTGCTTTGACCACTCGGCTACGGAGAGCTTCGCAATCAAGCACGGTTCTATTTACCTTAATATACATTCACTCGTTCAGATTTTCAAAGGGTCGAAAAGGACGGTGGTTCCTCTTGCAAAGTGAAACACAAGTTCGAGTCTTAACGGAGGGTAATTTTTTCTCGAGTACGCAATTTGATAGACGAATTAAATACTTTTCCAAATAAACGGAGTATCAGCTCAAATACAGCCATCCATTAAAAATAACGTTTGAAGTAATAAAAATATGTTGGATGAGAAAAAATTCATGGATTCTTTAGAAAATTATATATATATATATATATATATATATATATATATATATATATATACTCAAGTATAGGATTGGTGTATATGGAATAAATTCTAATAACCAAAAATACAATTCTTAAAAGAGTTCTCAATACAGAAATATAGTCTGAGTAATAAGAGTAAAAATATTATTCTAAAATTGTAGTTAAATACAACGTATTCTCACCCAAACTCCTCTTTTAGAAAGAATCTTTAAGTATACAAGTACGAAAAAAATGCCGAAAACCTTTTTGTCGTTAATAATAAAAAAAGACCCAGACGACATGCGTTTAACGGATGTCAGAATTCGTTGAAAAATACATCCCTACCCTCCCTAAACTTAACCTCTTTTTCGAACGTAACTCATAATTGATACAACAATAGTTAATAAAAATTAACACGCTACCGTCCCTGTCTAAATGATTGGATTTCTTTGCATCCTTGGAAACAAGTAATTATGATTTTATATGTGCGTTTAAAACACAGTAAATTTAAAAATAAGTTATTCCAGAATTCGCATGAAGATGAAACAGAACTAATGCTTTTAATTTAATTATATAATTAAATTTGAAGTTTTTAGCTTCAGTTTTTTTGTAACATGGTTATTACTGTGTAGCGAAGAAACCCCATTTTAAAAAGTTAATATATATATATATATATATATATATATA